TTGTAAATGGACATTATTTAGTGTGGAATCAGAACTCAATAAAAAGTATAAGGTCAGAGTACAACTTCATTGAGAAGAACAGAAGACAAAACACAGAAGAAACTGCATGGTGCTTTCCTTGCACAAATTATACATGCTACAGTACACCTATATCACCAACACCCCAATCTGATCAAAAACTATGCAGAGCAAGCCCATGACACAACAGCACAGTGCACAGCAAAACTAATTCAAGGAGATTCAATATGATCATCCTTTATAGTCAAATGCACTTAGGTACTCATGAAATCCCCTCTAACAACCGTGCAAAGCAAGAAAATTAATTGAGCAATGTGACAGCCTGACCCCATGCAGGCAAACAAGGATTCTTCTACAGCAACCAGTTAAGCCCAGTTCTTTTGGTGGCCTTCGGCACTGACGGGTTTGCTGGAAAGCAGCAAGCAGAAGGCAAGCAGATCAGTGTGAACTGTGGAATCTCAAAAAGCTCATTTCTCTCCCATACACAATGCATGCCAAATCTTAAGATTCCTGCAGCATCCAGTTATGAAACTACAATAGAAGAGGAAAACAGATGGCTAAAGCCTTTTGGGATAAAAAAAAAAAAAAAAAAAAAAAGAGAGAGAGAGAGAGATTAAGCCTTACTTCATTTCCAAAAGAGAAATATGTGTATTTGAAAAGAGAGAACCTACTTCAGACCATACCTAATTGATATAAAAACAGGCAACTTGCCTCATGGTCATGAAGCCTGTCTTCAGTTAAAGCTTCTGAACATATGAAAAATTTAACCCTTTTAAACATCATAGCTCACTGTATTTGTAAGCAGGATTTAAAAGCAAAGCAGTTCATGTAAGAAATGACAGACATAAGCATTGTACAAAAATAACATATTTCTTTCTCTCTAAAGCAACCCCTGAATACAAATCCTGTATAAAAGCCTCTATGTTTATTCTTTTCCAGCCTTTGTGAGCAGCTAGTGCCTATGTTGAGGTGAGCAGCTTTCTTGCTCATAAAAGCAACCAGTAAACAACAAGTTAGGAACTTGGCAACCTCAACTCTCTAAGTTCAGCCATTCTCTGTGGAAACCAGTCAATATTACATTTGAAGCCTCTATGGAGTCCTTGACTTGTGAGATATCACACAACAATAAGGAAACAAAAAAGCCACCCTAAGGAGCTCATGTGCTCCGCAGATGTTTCATCAGCTCTATAAAACTGCTATCAGAGCTTCAGGTCCAAGTACTGGGACTGATCTCTGGTCCAAAGGAGGAGTTTCCTCCTCTGCTGAGCCTGGATCTCAGACAAGCTGCAACTCAGCTGCCTGAACAGAGGCCTCCAGCAGCTGGGCAGCCCCAGGGTACACAAGATATTCATGCCAGGCTGGCAGCTTGAACCAGAATCAACAGGAGACCTGGGCTTCTTCAGACTGGCAGCTGGGACCGGCAGTAAACCCAAAGGCATCCCAAAGAGGGTCTGACACCAATGTTCAGGCAACTGGACTGGGTCCCCTGCACAAGTCACAGCACTCCACCTGCCAGCGATGCCCAGCACGCTCCTGTCCAACACAGCAACCCTCTGCCCTGACAGCACAGAGCAGGAAATCCAGCTGTTTCTGTAGAAGCCTAAGCAAAACGAATGAGACTGATTTCTGGTTTTATTCAATGACTGCACTGAGGATAAGCACTGAATTAACTCCCTCGTATCACATGTGGTCCTTTCAGGCCAGGGCTGCAGTCCACTGGTGAGGCTGTGTGGAAAATCCTGAGCTGCCCCAGCTTAGTCCAAGGGTAAACAGAGGATGACACACTCCAGCACTTTCAAGCAAGCACCTTCCAAAAAAAATCAACTGCTTATATGATTAATGCAAAGTATTATGTTTTTGCAGTAGCAGGAGTCACTAATCCATATTAAAGAACAAGACTACATCTGTTTATTTATTTATTTTTAATGAATGGTTCTAAATAAACCAACTGTTCAATTTTTCAAAGGTACTGAGCAGCCACAATAATTAGGTCTGGGTCAGTGGGAGCTGCCAAAATGCCAAAGAAGTGACTCAGTCCTGTTAATTATCTGAAAAATAAGGAACAGTGACAGCACTGGACACTCCATCACGACCTATCTCCCCCAAACACACCACCAATGAAAAGCAATCATTTGAGAGTGGCTGTCCATAACCACTAGTAGGGACAAGAATCAGAAGTTATAGACAGGAGAGAAAGCAAGGAAAGGTTTCAGCCCAATCTGGCTAAATGCTGCTGTACCTAGATATAATCCTTTAAAAAGTTAAGCAGCAACACACAGCAGTGGCAACTTCTCACAGTGCCATGAGAATGTGAGAAAAAAAAAGAGCAGGAGCTATTTTAAAAACCAAGTTAAAAAAAAAAAAAACTAACTAAAACAAAAACAAACAAAAACTCCAATCAATACAAGTCCAGAGGAAACACAGAGTATTAAAGCCAATCAGAAGTTCACCCAACCTTGCAAACCATCCACAATCAGTACAAAAATATTCTAATAGAGGTCATTTTTTGAAGAGCCAGACAAATGCAAACCTAACAGAAGACAGCAGTTCACAAAGAGGCACACAGCCTGTTTTGGTCATGCACAATCCTTGCTCACAGACATTTCTCAGTTCCAGTGTGTTTATGACTGTGTTGTCATTTACTTTAAAATATGAATGGAGCATTCTTTTCCTCCAGAAACACTGCATTGTTAAAATGCCAGTACATTAAAATAACTTACTGCTTACTACATTTCAATCAAACAAACTACAGACTACAGCACTGACACTTAATATATACTGAGTGCTTTCATCAAGAACAGCATATGGAGCTCATTTCTTGTGTTTTGTTCTCACATGGGCCAAACTCTGAGCCAAGACTTAGAAACAGATGAAGCAGTGATCCTGTCAGCATGCACAGAAACTGCATCTTCTCCCAAGTTAAGGAAACACTTAGTTGAAGGCTCTCAAAATACATAAATATTTAACCCTTTGTTTCTATAGAAGTTTGATTTAGGAAGTTTGATTTACGGCAGAAATATAATATTTTAGGTTGCATGCTTAAGGAACATTTTTGTTTAGGTTCTCAAAATAACAGGAAGCAGAATCAAAAAGCTTACAGTCAAAGGACTTAGTGAGTTATGTTTTTCCCTATTGTGATTTTTCCTAGAATTCATCCACATTTCACCACCATAATGTTCCTTTGTAATAACCAACACAAGCACTGATCTTGTCTATATTTAAACTCAAGAATGTAAAATGAAGGTTCAGAAGGATGACCTTTTTGCAAAAAATTAGTTCCATATCTGAGGTTTTGAATGGCTCTCACTACTCCATACACAGACATTTGCTAGGTGGGCACTCTCAGTTATGATTAACCAATAATCTGCCTGTTTCTGAAATAATAAGATATTGCACATAAGAACTTTTGTGTATGACTTTTTCTTAAACCAAGGAAGGGTTAGCTGCAATTCCAATGTAAACATTTCTCTGCAGGACTTATACTTTAGTGCTGAAGCATTCTGCAAATTCTCAGCAACAAGAGAATCAAAATGAAAACGAAACCTAAAACAGCTTAGTTCATGCAAACAGAACATAATAAGTAATAAACCAAACTGCTGAAATCAACCTGATCAACTAAAATCACTGAAAAACTCCTTGGCCTCTTTGGGACAGCAGATCCCATGAGATAATCAGGACACCCTTTTTCAACTTCTATAATATTTTCATTTGTAGTTTATTCTGTGAAAGCAAGTTCAACTTCCAGAACAATTCTGTTTCTTAAACATTCTAGGAATGAAGACAGCTTCCAAAAAAAAAAAAAAAAATCCAAAATGTTTAACCTGACAGTGTTCCTTTAAGGCAGAGCAGTGTGCAGCCTTCCAGCATATTTGACAGCTATTTCCTACTCCAAGAGATAGAATTTAAGTTTGTAGAGGCAATTACTCATAACCAGTGAAAGCAGCCAATATAAGTGCCAAACTTGCCAACAAGAAGAAAGGCCAAGCATTAGAAAGGAGGCTGCAGTTTATTACAAGGCAATTTGAACATCTCAGTCCACAAGGTCTGGAAAGTATTTTTTTCTTCCCCTGACACTACATGCTCACACTAATGTGAGGAATTATGTCAGCAATATCAATATTCCAAACATGTAAAACAGCAGTTAAGCATTTATATAATGGAGATCTTCCCCTGACTATTTAAAAGCTGCTTCTAGTCTTGCCTAGCAGATTTATTTAAGCTCATTTTGCACAGGAAAGATGATGTGCCAGACCCACACCATTAACTGCTGTCTAGTCAGCTCCAAAGCCATCCAACTGGACCACCATCACCCAAAATGCCTTTCTGACTAAACAAACACATTAAGGCAATTCTCAAAGACCTGCCTCTTGCCTCTTCCTGTTAAAAGCTGGAAAGGAAAAAATGGAAAAGAAGGAGAAATATGACCTCCTCACGTAACGAAGTCAAAAATCAAAATGGGCATCCAACCCGTATGTCCCATGACCACTATGTCCAGGACTGATCTCCAAAGCCTCCAAAAACACAAAGTTTGTCAAAAAACACAAGTGTCTGTAGATAACCCCCAGTGTCACCAAGCTGAATTGGAAGTTGGAAAACAGCTCATGGGAAATATTTAAAAAAAAAAATTAAAAAAAATAAAAACCAAACAAAAAAGCCGCACTAAAAACCCAACAACCAAAACCACGCCAAGTCACAGATGCAGGCTAACAAACTACCCTCCTCTGCAAGGTAAAAACAATGCCAGCCTAGAAAATCAATAGTACAGAACAAATCCAGCAGGTCCAGGGTAACCATGCAGCAAAGCCAGTAGTCACTGAAAAAAACAGCTCATGTAGCTACTTCTGCAATGGGCTGGCAAGAGAAGGTAAGGGGATGCGAGAGCAATGCACCCACCACACAAAACACAGCGAGCCACATCCTTTCTATTTCAGCACCAGCAACTTACTCCATCATTTTTTACAACAACATGAGCTGCTTCTTACCATTTTTTAGTGCACTCAACCATCAATTCCTGGTAAGAGGCCACAAACTGGAACTTGGATGCATGTTTCCCAACACGCTGCAGTCTTTTCCAAACTGAAGCCATGATGGTGAGAAATACCAGTCCTCTTACACAGCAACAACTGCGTGAATACCAATGTAGGTTTCAAAGAGCGTGTGTGCTTGATATTAGGAGATTTATATACAGACACAGTAAAAAGAGTGTGTGAGAAACTTGATGGGATGTCTACAATCCATATTCTGCCTCCCCCCTCCTCAGGGTAAATCCCAGTCTAGTGGAATGGCTCATCACTGGCCAGGAGCAGCATGCAGTAGCAGTAGACAGGTAATGGAAAAGAAGTTCTCTCATGGAATCATCATTCTTCACACAGTAGGTGAAGGGACGACTGCAGGACTGGAAGACAAATAAGACAGGGAGAGAAGGCATTGGTTAATACACTTCATACTAAGTGCTGCAATTGCACGTGATCTCATACCTTTCAAACAACTACAATCAACCACAAGAATATACCCCCTTCCTGTTGTCACACACTTACACACATTCCCCCCCCCCAATTAAATAAATAAAAATACTGCAGCAATTTCAGGAATTCAAACCACGAGACTGTTCAGAAACATATCAACATATCCTATTATCAGCAGCATCATAATTGGCAACAACAACAAAAAAGGGCAGCTCAGGGCCACACCGAATCCTTGTGAAGCATCTCCGGGAAGCAATGCAAAGTGGCTGAGGTACTGCCAATATGCACCCAGAGGGAGGGACACGGGGAGATGAAGTTCTTTGTCTTGATGACAAAAGGTGTAACAGTTGTTTCCTGTAACACACCTCCAGCTTTCATTTCTCTGTCCAAAGAGAAGGATCAGCCAAGAAGAGAGAAAGGGAGTGTTGCTGCCCAAATGCCTGTGCCAGGGTGAGGAGGAGGACAAGAGAGGAAGGGGCATTTCCCGAGTCCTGGCTACCCAGGATTCCCCATCTTCCTCGCTGCATCATGTTGAAATGGAAATGCCTCTCCATCCTGCACTGAGGAATGATCATCAGGGAGGTGAAAAGGGAGAGAAACACAGGTGGGAATCCTCCCTCGAAGGAAAGCAGCATCTGCGCTGGGTGCGGAGGGAAAAGCCTTTTCAATAGGAATATAGGGAAGCACAAGCTGGCCGCAGCTGGCGAGAAGTCAGGGTAGGATGGCAGCAAGGCTGGCGAGGCGACTACCTGAAGCAGAACGGCCCCTGGGAAGGGGGGGTCCCCACGGAGCCCCGGGGCGAGGAGCGCCCCGCTCCGCCTCAGCAGCCCGTGTCACCTCCGCGCCCAGCCCGCCGGGGCAGCGCCCCCCGCCCTTGGCCGGGAGCCGAAGCCGTTTAAAAATTAAAACGCCACCGGCGGGGTGCAAGGAAAGGAGCGGCGGCTGCGGGAAGGGACGGGCGGCTCCCCGTGCGGCACTCACCTGCCGCCGGCTCCTCGCGGGCGGTCCCGCCGGGCGGGCGCGCTGGCACCACACGGCAGGCGAGAGTCAGCGCTGCCGCTGCCCATTACTGCAGCAGCCCCGCCGCCGGCAGCGCCCTGCGGCTGTCCCCGTCCTCCCGCAGCCTCATGGCGAGCACCGCTCCCCCGCCGCTCTCCGCGCCGGCCGGGCAGACAGCGCGGGTCGCAGCGCGCCTCACGCCGCCACCATCGCCCTCCTGCCGGCGCTGCGCCGCGCCTCACCCCGGCCCGCCGCTCCCCCGCCCCCGCCGCCCGCCGGGGCCCCGCCCCTGCCGCGCCATTGGCCCCATCGCGGGCCCTCCGCAGTCCATTGGATACTGTGCCTGTCAATCATCCCGAGCAGCGGAGGGGGGAGGTGGTGAGCGAAAAGGGGTTCGCAGATCCTCATCTCCCGCCCCCAGCTCCACCTCTGCTCTGACTGGTCACAGAGCCTGAAGAGGCGGGGCTACTTGTGAGGAGGGGCTACTCGATAGGTCAGTATGGCCGTCTGTCAGCGCGAAGACGCCCGGCGATTGGCTGCGGCGCTTCCGACAGGCGCGGGGTGGGCGCGGGGAGAGGAGAGGGCTGTCAGGGGATGGGCGTGGTCCCGCCGCCGCCCCCAGGACTCGCCGCCGCGCCAGGGCCGGGGAGCGGCGGGAAGGGAAGGGCCGGGACCGGGGCAGGGACCGAGGGAGCCGGGGAGGGAACCAACGATGTCTCCCGCGAGGTGGGCGTGGGGCGGCTGAAGGGAGTGAGCGGCCCCGGATGGAGGCGGCGGGAGGGGAGGAGGAACCGCGGCGAGGGAGAGTCCCCGTGCGGAGGGGCTGGTCAAGCGCCTGGCCTGACCCGAGTCCTGCAGCACAGGCCCCGGTCCTTTTGGCGCTCCCGAGTTCGGGTGCGGATGGGAAATTGATGGAAATGGAATACCACAGGCAGGACGATGTTTCTTGGCTGATTTAACCTGCGTGCTCAGGGAACAGCGCCCAGGCGGCGGGGGCTGGATGTTCTGCGCAGTTTGATATTAAAGTTTCCGCAGGGGAGAACGGAGCAGTGAGAGCGGTGATCCCTGTGGGATGCGGCTGTGAATTCCCCTTAGCCACTCTGGCTGAGCGCTTCTCCAACACTGCAGTGCCATGAGGGAGGTGTCGGGACCCAGATGCAAACCTTCGGTGCTGGGTTCCAGTATTAATCTAAAATTAACCCGTGGCTTAGTCCGGTTCCCGCTGCTTGTTGCCCCACCTGCCCTCCGGACACCTGTACGGTTGTGTTTAACTTTGGGATCCCAAAGTGCCATTGCTGTAGGTGAATTCCAGAGTTGGATAGCGTGGTTGTGCGATCTCTGGGAGTTAAGCCTAAACCTCTCAGCCAGCCAAGTCAGAAATTAAGCCAGCTGTCAAGTGGAAGCACAGGGAAATAAGGAAGATAATGCAGTGGAGCTCCGAGAGCAGCTGTAAAATTGAAGCCTCGGGGCTTTGCAGTCCTCTGTGCTCTTTCCCACGACAAACCGAATGGAGTCCAAGCCTGATCCACAGTCTGGGAAGCTCCTTATCCCAGTGTTTTCCTCCTTTCCACTAAGCTGCCTCTCGCTGTGCTGGCATATCGAAGAGACTGCCAGCATTTAGTGGCTGGAGTGAAAGGAGAGAAAGAATGTGTGGATGGCTACAGGCCTAAGCTGAGCTAAGTTACTTTGGAGAGGTTGAATATTTAGGCTATTGAAAAGGTCAGCCCTTTGCTTATAATGTATTACTCTTCAGCCTTTACCCCAGCTGCTAGAGGGTGTGCACTTGGAGCTGTCCTGGAAGAGGCAGTGGTTCTCCTTTTTTTAAAGTGTTACACTGAAATGTTGCAGGCAGTTGTACTACTCATACATATTTCCTTGGGAAATATTTTTTTTTCCTCCCTGAATATTTTTGAAGTTAAAAGCTGAAGATTTTGTACATTTGTCTTAACATATCTGTCCCAGTTTTGCAGCTGGTAACAGGGTAATTCCAACACACTTGAGGGAGACATCACTGGGCTTTTTAAGTGCAGATCACCTGCTTAGGATTTGGGAAATGAGGCCAGAATTTCCAGAACACATCAGACTGAGAACATGCAGTATGGAGCACACAAATGCTTGGTTCTGACTTGGAAAATACCAGATGGAAAACTGACAGCTGTGAAGCGGATCAAGCAAGGCAATTCAAAATTCCGGTGGCCCTGAGGAGAACCTTGGTTCTTCATAACAGAGAAATATCAAGTAATCAGTTGTGCTGATCTTATAAAAGTTGTCTTTACAACAATATTCTATTACCAAAAGTTAATCCGTGAGCTTCTCTGATTTATCTCCTGAATAACCTGCAGCACCCAGGCTAATTCCTAAGACATACCTATGACCAAGATCTTACTGTCTCAAACTAGGGAAAGTAAAGTAAAATAAATAATTAAACAAATATATATTAAGTAATAATAGTAAGTAAATATATAGTAAGTAATAATTGTAAAATAGACATTTTCTGTCCAGTGGAATAAACACAGATGGTCTGGTGGTTTGTTCAGTGACTTGTGTTTCAAACATCATTATTTATTAACATTTTCCATTTCCTTCATAGCTTTTGGATTCAAGTTACACCAGGCCTGGGGGGTACACGGTGTAAGGCTGCTTTTGCCTTTGTTGTATGTGGAAAAATACAACACAGGCAATTATCCTACAAATTATCTGTTTTACAGTTTTTAAGAGCAGCCATCCTCAGTTCTTGAAATTTTGGGGAAAGCCTTAGGAGATTTCAGAGGATGTGAGGAATTACTGTGGGAGGAAGGGCAAGATCTTTAGCTACAGATTGGAAGCTAGAGGCCACCACAGCATTCTCAGGTTACTGGACTGAATCTATCATCAGACCAACTCAAAAGCTCTTGTGACTTCTGCTGCCAGCTCGCAGCCCAGAGGAACCAATAAATGGCAAAAAGGGATTAGCAAGGGCATGGATGAAGAGCCCCCAAGCTCCTCCTTGGGTCAGAGCACTCAGATGGGTCAGCAAGGAACCCCCGTGTTGACTTCATATTGCAAATATCTCTTGACTGGTCCTGCTGGCCACAAGCCTGGTTTGTGACAATTACCCAGCTCAAACCTCAGCTCAGCTCAGAATCTGAGCCAAGCTTTGGGGAAATGGCCTCATTTTTACTTAATCCAATATTATGAGCTTGAAAACAAGCAAAGCTGGTTAAACCGAAGTACCCAATGCTCTCTTTTAAGGTCAGTAGCTGAGTGAACAACTCTTGTTTAACTTCCAGAAGGGTCCTGATTACAAAAAAAATGGTGCTTCATTTTATGTACAGTGTCAAATCTCTTGTGCAAACAGGAAAAATAGTCATGATGAATAGAGGGGTACAGTCTTATTATTTAATACGTATGACACAATCTATTTAAACCATATGCACGTGACATCTGCTGCCTTCCTGCTGCCTTCCTTGCCTATGGAAGGAAAGCTGAGGAAGTGTATTTGTGTGTATTTGAGTTGTTTGTGTATCATCTGTGTTGTTCTGGAAGTGACATGGGACAGGATGCTGCCAACTGCTCAAACTGGGAAGTTGCTGGGGCTGAGCAGGGAGGCCCCAGAGCAACCTGACCCTGTTCTTTATAAGCAGCTGATTTCACTGAGGATACCTTTACTATCTGAAAACTCGTGCTCTGTGGCTTCTCTTTTCCCCTTGCTATCTGGACACTCAGACTCCCTCACAATCTCCACAGAAATCCCTGTGTATTTTTTTTTCTGGATTTTGCCTCCTGCTCCCTGGCTTTGACTGGTGGTGGAAGAATTCAAGTTTCCTGGCCCAAGTAGAGAGATGATCTATGCTCTGTTTCTGTTATTCCCTGTCAAGCATTAAAGCTCTCCAGCCTCTCCCTTATCCTTCAACGCCTCATCATCAGTGTGACTAAGGACATGTTGTTCACCATTCGAGAAATGACCTTTGCTAGGAATAGGTGTCATAAATCTCAATTTCCCTGTCCTTCTGTACGTGAGCCTGCAGAAATGTCACTGAGGAAATCAAGGAATTGGATTATGTCAGATTTGCAGGAACATTCCGCTTTCTGAGGCAAAGGTTTGTGTACGAGGTTACCTACACCTGCCACGTTTTAACCTCCTTGTATTTCTAGATCCCATCAAACCTTTGATCCCCTGTTAATGAAAGTAGTGCAGAATTTGCACTGACCACAGTAATGTGTAAAGTTCCATCCTCATGCTCCCCAGGATGTCCCTAACTGGTGTTTTACACCATAACATTCTGTTCTGTAACAAGTAACATTACATTGTCTGCTCATTTTCTTTGTTTCTTCAGATCCCAACAGTAATTTAAAAATCCATGTGTATGTGTATATATGTGTATAGATATACATAACAAATCACAGTATAGATAGAAAAAAAAAAGGAATTTTTTTAAGCCTCCATTCTTCATTTGTTTCTTGTTTGTTGCTGATAAAATTCCATTCAGATGTCATTTCACATGGTCTGGTAACACCCAGCAGCCATTCTGTGTTGGAGGGAATAATGTTCTGAATATTCCCTCTGCTAAATATCAGTGATAGTTGAAAGGAGTTGTGTGTGTGCAATATCCCATTTTATTTGTGCTGTGAAAGCTTGACTTTGAGACTGGCAGCTGGGAAAAGGCAATTCCCACATTGCAGAACCAGACAGCCCAGCTCCTATCACAGCCTAGACTGAAAACAGATCATTTCAGCAACACTCCCAGCTGTGTCCAAGGCACACACACTTAAGAAGCACCACCATTTGTTCTTGCCTTGCCAGCAAAAGTAGTAGATGTTAGGATGCATTCTGGTGGGGTTGTGTTTGGTTACCACTCTTGCCCAGGCTGAGGCAGGCAGCCCAGCCTGGCTCTTGCCTATGGACCAGCCCAGGCCAGATACCAGCAGAGCTGTGTACAGGCACCCACCCTCTGAAATCCAGAGCCTGCCCCCTCGGAGAGCCCTGCTGCCAAAAGCAATCTGCAGAGCCAGGAGCTGGGGTAACTCACCAGCACTTCTTTCTTACAGATTGTTTGTTCTCCCACTCCCTTTCTGTGGTTGGTGAGACCCTGTTGTGCCTTCCCTCCAGACTCTGTGCCAGAAGGGGTACTCAAAATGCCAGTTCCCCAAGAGGCAGCCTCATGTCACAGCCCCTTTGCTCTCCTGTGACCATTATGCCATCCCAGAGGCACCAGGTACCCCTGGCCTGCTCCTCTTAACCCCACTGCCCAAAGTCTTGTAGGCAAAGTCAAGCAGGATGGTTCAGAAAAAGAGCAGATGAAAAACATCCTCACCTGTCTTTCTTTTATCTCCCCTCTCTTGTCTGGCTGACATTCTTCCCAAAGCACTCAGCAGTAAAGGGCGTGCTGTATTTATCTGCAGAGGAGGGCAAGGACAGGAGTTGCATTCCTGAAATGCAGAAGTCAAAATGCAATTCAGCCTGTGGAAGCAAGAGCAAAGATGGGGTGCTGATGGGGGAGACCCCATGCTACAAAAAGCATTTCCTTGCTCCAGATCAGAACACTCTGGATTAGTGATGCTTTCTCCAAGTTTATTATCAACTTGCTTGTCAGTCAGCTTGCAAAGCTCTGAGTGAGTTTTGTCATTTCCTTTTGATACCCATTAAATTGTTTGCACCTTTTAGTAGCCCTTGCTTCTGTCTTCTGGAAAAAAAAAAAAATTAAAATCGAAAAAGCAAAAGGAGCAGCCTGTATTTTGTCCATAAATAGCAACTTCCAATTTTTTGTCATGCTCGGTGTCTCCTGTACCCTTTCCAATTCTTCAATACCCTTCCTGTGTGGTCTCCCTGGCTTTTTTGCAGAGTATAATTATGCTTGTATATGACATCCTGCAGCACTAATGAGGCAAAGAATGCCTTCCTCCCTCTCTTTTTAGAATAAACAGCACACAATGTGGCCAGCAGGAGCAGGGCAGTGATCACTGCCTGCACTAGGCACTGGTAAGGCCACACCTGGAGTCCTGTGTTCAGTTTGAGCCCCCAGGACAAAAAAGACACTGAGGTGCTGGAGAGTGTCTGGAGAAGGGCGGTGAAGCTGGGGAAGAGTCTGGAGCACAGTTCTGAGGAGGAGCAGCTGAGGGACCTGGGGTGGCTCAGCCTGGAGAAAAGGAGGTTCAGGAGGGACCTTATCTCTTGCTACAACTTCCTGACAGGAGGGTAGATCAAGGTGGAGCTCTTTCTAAGAGCTATGGGAGAAAATAAGAGATGGAGCAAGTTCAGAGGCAGACTTGTTTCCTGGCTCCCATGCCCATTTTACACGATCCTGGCTATGACAAATCTCTGATTAACCTGCTGTAGATGCTTCATGGTGGCACTAAGGAAACTGCAGTGGTGGGGATGTCAAGGAGTAAAGGTTGTACAGCCCCATGCATTTTTTTGTACTCTGATCCTATTTATCTGAAAATCAGTGGCTGGACATGCAATCAGAATAATAAGCTGGCAACATGTAAAGTCTTTTATCTGCATTTCTGTAACTACCAGAAAAATCATAAAATATAACACAGCTGTCTCTAAAGATTATTCAGGAAACTCCTCTTTGCCCAAATATAATATATGTCACCTTTCAAGAGAAAGCCTAGTTAGCTTTGGATCTATACCATCAGTCATCCATGCAGTTTATCAGTACCAGGGGTAAATTTCCTTGGAGTACAGGCATTTGGAATGCACAGGTCATCATAGATCAAATCTGAGGCTTTCTTGGAAGCCAGTGGAGAGGCAATTACCTTATAGATGTGACAAGACAATCTGTTATGTAAAAAGGTGCTCCTACCAGACTAAGGGGGAAAAATTGTAGCTAACAGCTTGTACAACCAGAATCCCAAACATCACACAATGGGACATTGGTGCTTGAGGAAAAGTATCTCAAAGCACAGAGTAGAAATATGTATGTGTGGTGTGGCCTTCAGCCTGGAGATGAGGTGCAATTATCACAGTTACAGCTCATGAAAATGAACCCCAAGGACCTGCTCACGTATGCAAGACATTCAAGTGGACAAGAGTTTGCAATAATGGTGTTGGGCAGGCATGAAATGGTGTGGAGAAACTCAGCTTTGAGAAGACAAGCAATTAACTGTGTTGTAAAAATGACTGCAAAGTTTCCTGCTCCTACTTTTAATACCTCGGCAGCCACCCAGTTCAGATAAATATCTCTAGTTAATCTGGAAATTAAACTAGATAATCACAGCCAAGTTAGATAATTCCAGACTCAGAAACTGTTCTTCATTTTGCCCAGATTAACCAACAGGGATTTAAATAGTGTTGCAAGTTATTTTTATCACTAATCTCCCTCTATACTTTTTAGACTGTATGTATTAAAGCCACACTGTCAGAAAACATGGGGACAGTTATCTTCCAAAAATAAAAGAGATGACAAATGGGATGTAGGACTTATTTTGCCAGATCATGGTCATGTTTGGGGTCCTCCTGTTTCCCCCACTTCACGATTTTATTTCTGTTAAATTCCCCTGCAAGGAATGACATGCAGCCTTAAGGACATGTATCCCTATGGCAGAGTCCTCAGTGAGTGCCAGGCTGAAGGAGGAGGTTGATCAGTGTAGGTTTCATCCATGGTCTTGGGATGGGAAATGCAATTTTTTTTTCTCTGACTAGCTTTAGGAATCTTACTGACTCTTCACACATGCCTGGAAGGAGTGACTGCTCTGTCAGTCATGTAGAGGGACAATAGAAAAAAAAAGGGAAATCTCTATTTGGGGTTACTTCCTAAGTCAAGATAGGTGACACTCTTATGCCTGGGGCAACCTTGAATCACCAGCTTTGAAGTTAAAGATCTGGAGGTGTATATGGGTTTCTCTCCACTAAAAAAAAGTAAAATCCCAAAACCTCAGCAAATGTGGTCCCAGCCCAGGTCAAGTGCTGGGAACAATTCCATTGCTGCACTAAAGAGATGCAACTTAATCAATCACCAAAATACCTTCTTTTTAGTCCTAACTAGAGCTCCAGAGCTCAGCAAAGTACCTGCACAGCAACAGCACAAGGCTGGTAGAGGCATCTCAGCATCTCTCTTCCTGGCAGAAATTCCTGTATCAGCCAAGCTAGCAGAATCTGTCTGTTTTGGGAAACAACAGATATATCAAACATTCTGGCAAAGCCCAGGAGAAATGACAGTTCAATGATGTTGAAAAGAAAATTATCAGAGAGAGATTAATTTGTCTGACAGTATGTCTTTATGCTCTCCACTGAGGAAGAACAAGAGTCCTTTCATGCATATTGAATTTACTCTGGTGTGAGTCAACCTCTGTCAGTAGGGCTCTAAGTGCTGCCGGTTTAGTAAAATATGTGATTGCTGCTACATGGCACCTGCCCCCTGCACACCTCAGAGCACCAAAGCTTCCCAGCCACAGCTTCTGCTGCCAGCAATGCTCGTTTTACACCATGGTTTGGGGCATAGCATTCAGAATATCTCCTGCACTATCCATCAAAGTGTTTGCTTAAGGAAACAGACAGAACAGCCAAATGCAGGGCTGCAGGCCATGGAAAGCCCAGAGTCTGGTTTTGGAGATGCAAAGAGGTAAGGGAGCAAACGGTGCCTGTTAACAGGAGGGGCAGTCCCAACATTTCTCACGTGACTTTGCAGGTGAAGTACCCTGCACTGCTGGCTGCCAGGGGCCATGTCTCTCTGCAGAACACAGCAAAACTTGACCACGTTTTGCCACAGCCAGCCCTTGGCTGTGGTGGTGTCGCAGCTTGTGCAGAAGCAATAATCCCTGAACAGGTGCAGAATGATGCTGTAGAATAGTGAAGACATAGAACAATGTTCTACTCAGAGTGCCTGCAGCAGATGTGTATCACACACTCACCATCCATTCTCCTTCTAAGACATCCATGAGCTAAAAGTTCAGATACAAAGTAAAGTCCAGAAGTTTCAGGTCCTTTTTCTGATACTTAAAAGATGCCAAACACAAATGACAGTGGTATGGATTTTGCCTTATGCTCCTGCTGTTCTGCACAGCCCAAAGGTGGCAGCAACCCAACTGAACTCATGGGTTGTTTCTTTCCTGGGAGCAGGCAGTGACACATGAAGCAGCAGGAATGGTGTGTCACTCCCCAGCTGTGTCACAGCTGGGATCAAGGACAGAATCACTGGGGGACTGCTGTGTCCCAGTATGGCTGGGCAGCGAGAGTGCCACTTGGGAGGCTGCAGCAGCTGGCATCCTGAAGAGCAACCCCACTGCACCCCTCTGCTGGCCTGCAGATCCTGGTGTGCAGTGCAGCAGCAACAGGACAGCTTCTTCCATCGCAGGGTTTTCTTTTGCCAGCCTCTTTGCTGAGAGGGCAAACTGCACAGACAGTAAAACTGAGCAACTTAATGTGAGCCTGTTGTTTACTCAAAGCATTGCCCAAACTACTTATTTTCCCTTGCATGAATCTTGGTACTGTTGGAATGAGTTGAGCCAATCTTCCCACCCAAAAGATGAACCAGAAACTGTCACAAGGTAAGGCATGAGAAGTTTGTCTAAAGTACAAAGACCCAAACAAAGAGGGTCTGGCACCTGGCAGCTTCAATAACCGTAGATGCCCTTCAGCTTGATTGACCCACTACATCAGTCCATGCTGACCTCACTGCTCACCACAAAATTGAGATGCATTCCTCAGCCCATGGCAGCATCACCTCAGTGAGACTAAAATAAAACCCACTGAAAGGTTTTATATAATACCAAGGCTACAAGATCTCTAATGTAGTTTTCTTATTGGAGCAAGAGCCAAGTACAGCTTAAATTCATTAGCTAATGGCCTGTGACAATGAAGGACAAAGACAATTATTATGCACATTTCCAAGCTGATTGTTTCTGTGTGAAGAAAATGCAACAAATTATTGTTCTCCTATATTAACGTACCATAAAGGATTACTATCATATCTATTTCAAAAAATCCCTATCCCTTTCAAAATGCAGATGAATGCCAGATAAATTTGATTTTTATAGATGAAAGCTTGGTGGAAAAGTCAAGATTTTATTAAGGCCATGGACAATCACATTACATTTTATATGATATGATGCCTTCATTACTGATTCAGGAAATTGATCTCAGGACATTTTTTTCTACTGAAGGCTTACCAATTCTCTGAGTATCTCTCATGTATCTTAAACACTTATCCTTGGATATAATAGTCAGAGGCATTCTTAATAGCTGCTTGTATTTATAGAAAAGTCAAAAAAGAAATACAACAACATCGTAGACTCACAGAATCATTGAGGTTGGAAAAGACCTCCAAGATCATCGAGTTCAACCTTTGACCAATCACCACTTTGTCAACCAGATCATAGCACTGAGTGCCACGTCCACTCATCGATTACTGTGTTCAGTAAGGCACTTATCCCTGGTCATAAAAAGAGATCTGGTTGGCCAGGCAGGACCTGCCTTTCCCAAACCCATTCTCCTGTCCTTGATGCCCTGGTTGTCCTGTATGTGCTGTGTGATCACACTCAAGATCTGTTCCATAACCTCCCCAGGCACTGAGGCCAGGCTGACAGGCCTGGAGTTCCCCAGATCCTCCTTCCAACCCTTCCTGTGGATGAGTATCACACTGACCAACCTCCAGTCACCTGGGACCTCTGTGGTCAGCCAGGGCTGATGGTGAATGATGGGCAGTGGCTTGGTGAGCCCTTCCAGCAGCTCCCTCAGAACCTTCAGGTGAGTTCCATTCTGCCCAATAGACTTGTGTGCATCTAAGTGGCACAGCAAGTCACTACCCACCTTCTCCTAGACCACAGGGGGTCTTTTCTGCTCCCTGTCCCTGTCTGCCAGCTCAGGGGGATGATTGTTCTAAGGATAACCAATCTACCCTAATGTGGAAAGTGAAAATTATTTCATCACTTCCAGAAAAATGTATGGTAGATCACACTCTGTAATCCTTGAAATTTTGTAATGCCGATTGGTATCGAAAGCACTGAGGAGAGGATGTGTCACCTTAGTCTGCCAACTGCTGTAAATTCAGATGAAGCAGGACCCAGCCAGATCTCCCACAGTTTCAGGGGCCTGTTCTGTACTCATGTACATGTGGAGCAGTTTGGCAGCTCTGACAAGAGGCTCCTGTCCTGCATTAGGTGAAAAAGGGGAGGACTGACTCCATCATCCATCAGCGGTGATGGCTTCCTCTCATCTTCAGTGGCAATTTGAGTTTTTCTGAAGCTGTGACTGCTTTCTCATCCCTTGCCCCTTTCCCAAAAGGTACTGGATAACTAAGTCAAAAGACACTTCTCCCAGCATTTGAGTAAATGACCCACAACTCTAGTAACACCAAGCAAGCTTTGCAGAGGAGCACAAAAGGCCTGGGTTTAAGCACAGCATTCTCTGAAGTTAGATATTCAAGTAAGCATCCACCCATTGTTCTCACAGACCATGCAGGACTACTCAGAAGCCCACTTGGGGCAGCAACCCATCCTCCTTTCCCTCTGTACTCACTCCCAGAGTGTTGCTCACGGTGTCCCAGTTATTTTGGAGTTAACAGGTCATTCTCACAGGGCTTGACAAAATCCCAAACTCAGTTATCCTCTAGTGACAAGCGTGAGCAGGAAGCCTCCATCAGCAAGGGCTCTGTAATCCATCCTGAAATGAAAAAACTCAGGGAATTCTGGTGTCCCAGCATGGCCTGGAATCTGCCATTACAGCTGGTCCAAGGGCTTTGAGGTGCACTGCAAGGCTTTTCCCTCTTGTTCCTCCCCCCGATTCCACAACCCCAACTTTCTCTTTGCAGCTGACACTTGCAGTATAAGCCACTGAGGCTGTAATAAAATGCTCAACACTAACGATATATATGGAGTGTTACAGATTATGAAATTCAATGTCATTTTTTTAGAAGTCATAAAAACATTATCTGATTCCCAGTAGCCCCCAGAGAGACTCTGGAATATGTTTATACACTGAAATGTCAAAATCATAAAGTGCCTGCTTTTGCACTATTTATTTTTCGTGTGGTGAAGTAGTTATTACGTGACATTTTATAAATACAGTGACTCAGAAATAATTAGTGTGCTGAATAACAATCTTTCCACTCTAATACAGCACCATACATTTTAAACCCCCATTTTTCATGAGGCACTCGCACAGTGTAGCTTAAATACTACAAATAAAAATGAACTCTGGAGGGGGAAGAACAATTCTGCTGTTGAGTTTTGGTTTCTTTTCCTTCCAAGGGAGGTGTACTGATAGTCACGACAGCAGGGTTAGGCAACAAGCAGCAGTAACTGTGCTCCCCAAAGGGCAGGGACAAAAGAGGCAGCATGTCTCAATGTTATGACACAAGGGAGAGGTTCCAAGAGAGTATCACATTAGCAAGATTAAAATTAACAAAAACACTGAACAAAATCCTTCCTTGAAGGAAGGAGATGATTTAAAATTGCTTGTAATTAATACTGGAGAAACAACACTGCACACAGCCCTGCTCTAGCCAAGAAGTCTTCCAGATTTTCACTGCTCAGCTTGTAATACTCCTACTTACTATTTTTTTTTAAACACACAGTGGATTTTATTGCCTTTTTTAGCTATTAATACGCAACCAATTATAAATTGTGAGTTGCAGCACTGGGTAATTTCCCTTCAAGAATGCTAAGCAGATTCTGTGCTGTATCAGGCCATGTGACAGCACAGCAACTACCATCCTCTCTTGACTTTTTTTTAGCAGCAATTCCTAAACACACGCTCAGCAGGAAAACTGGAGCAAGCCCCATCTTAGGACCTCCTTGTGACGCTGTTTTTTAACTTTTTGGATATTCTGCCTAAAAATAAAAGGAAAATTTAGGATTTAACTCAAGTTCTCAGGGGTGGAGATTCAGATGAACAATAGGAAATAACAGTAGTATTTATTGCATCGTGGAGGTACTTGTCTTATTTTCTCTCATTGCTGTTGTGCTGGCACCACATTCAAAGCTTCTTCTTGAGGCCTGTCAGAGGAGAGAGGGCAAATTTTAGGTGCAAGGTTAGAAAACTAAAAAGGAAATAGAGAAGGCAGTGTGAACTTTGATTTCATGCAGATGCAATGCACCTCACCCTCTTTCTCTTTTTTGTTTTTCCTGGGATAAAGTACTTGCAATAAAACCACGCTCCCACTGAGTAAAAGGTACCATTATTGTTTTTGATACCCATCTGTGTAAGCATTAATGACAGTACTTGGGCCAAGATGAAGCTCAAGGCAGCTGGCTGAGTCTGCAGCAAGCCCAAGCACCAAGAGCTGTTCCTGAATTTGAACATGAGCATGGAACCAGTAAACACACTAAAGGAACTACAGATGAGGATGCACATCTAGTGTCACTATTTATGCCTGCTTTACACCTCTTTTCTGTTAAAAAAAATCCCTTTACTGTGTAGAAAAATAGTTCTTTACACTGAAATGGAAAAAATGCTGAGACCAGGCAGTACTTTTTATTGTTTTACCATAATCACAGGATTATGGTAAATCACAGGATTACTTGGTGGATGTCAGAACTGGATTTTGGCTGAGGCAATCTAATGCATAGGGACCCTACATGGTAACACAAGCTCAGACATAAAACACCAAGCTGAGGCCAGAGCTGTGATATCTAATTGCCTTTGCCTAGAAACTGCAGTCAGCATTTGTAATCCTTAACAGGGAGTTTCAAAACAGCCTCCAATGTTTGTGAAACCTAAGGCTGAATTTGTGTGCTGCAGTGTCAGGGGAGCTGAGGACACTCCAGGCTTTTTGCTGCTGCGCTGCTTTGTGGTTTCCATCAGGATGTTGGTGTGTCCTTTCCACTGGCCCCCTCAGCTCCAGAGATCCTTTCCCTCTCCACACCTTCACATCATCTTTCAATCAACAGCTGTTAAAAGAACTTCCAAAAGTGTTTGCAGTTCATAACAGTCTACATTTGAAGATAAATTCACAGTATGGAAAAAAAAAAATCAACTCAAGTATAAAATATCCAGATTAATTAATGGTCCTTGTTTGTTCTTTCTGTTTTATCCTTCACTCCCTCCACCATTTATCAGAGGTCCAAACTGGTGCAAATGACCTGAATGTGTGACACTGAATGTTTGAATGTGTGACAACATGATCCATCTAAAAAACCTAATTCAGAAGCAATATTTTTTTTTTACTTTTCTTTATTCTTTTCCTTCTCAGAATCTGAGAATGTCCATGGGAGCTTGCTGAGGAACCATTTTGATTTGCCTGTTTGTGTAAAAATAATCCATGTTTCCTTGATTTGTTGAGAATACAACATGCCAGGAATAACTTGCATACTTTGGGAGGTCTTTCTGCTTGTGAAAGTCCAGCATGCTACTGGCTTTATGAGGAGGTCTAAAACATGCTTGTGGAACTTGAAAAAGGTCTTTCCAATGACTAATGCAGTCCATTTGTATGGAGAGCTCAGTAAATTAGCAGAAATGTTAAGTCTTACTAGAAGCAATTGCTCTCTTACGCAAAATATGAAACGGGCTCATCCAGAAAAGGAAATTTTACATCTTCTAGCTAATAGTGAAACAACAGACCATCACAAACTCTTTACAGACTCTTCTTATTTGGACACACTCCACATCCTTCCCCCAGGCAGCATTCTCCTGGCCAGCATAAGCCTCTGGGAGATTCTATCCACGCTGACATCTCTGCAGTTCCAGCCCCAGCCAGGCCCAGATAGCAAAGCAAAAGCAAGCTGAGGGTAACAGCATTTATCTTCAGAATATATGGCAATATGTGTCAAAGAAGAATATCCTGCAGACATGATCTAAAGGGCTGCCATGTCCATAGAGCTGAAAAGGTTTTATGCAGCTTTTTTTTTGTTGTTTGTATCATCTTTAAGTCTCAGTGTTGTAACTAATAGTTATATGTGGGGAGAGCTTAAGGACTTAGCCTTTCTACCTTTGCTACCATCTCTTTAAAGAGTTTACTTATTGATGCATGAAAAGGCCAGTAAAGTTGGGGATGTTGCAACACTTTTATTAGGGAATTTATCTTGTGGGCAGCCTGCTCTAATTTGGTTTATCTCCCAGTGAATATCAGAAAATATAATATGTTGGAGAAACACATGGAAGCCTTGGGATCCCATGTGCTGCACGGTCACTTTTGCTTACATGTGTCCTTCTCAGCAGAGGAGTGATGGCACTTGTTAAAAGCATTTGTTGGTGGACTGAGGGCAACCTGGGAGCTGCACAGGCCCCAGTGCTCACTCTGTGCCTGACCTTCCCATGCAGCAAAAAGCCCCTGCTGGTATTTCTGCCCAGACATTTCTGTGGGCACAGAGGCAGGGATGGTGTTTGCAGTCACACCCACTCACAACTCTCTGCTGTGTGAAAATGCCTGTTCCTCGCTCATCTAGCTTTCAGCTGAAAAGATCTCGAATTTGATTGCATCCCAAGACACATCTGGCTGCAGCACTGCAGATAGGGTCCTTGAAAAACCACAAAGAAAAGGTGTTTAGGTTAAGAATACTCTTGTGATTAAAAAAAAAAAATATTTAAAGTCCTCAAGTGTTTGTTTAAAGAAAATAATTTTCATTAAAATGTTGGCACAATTTCAAGCAATTTGATTTTAATTTTGAAGTGTTGAAAAAAACCCTCAGATAATTTCTGCAGCATTCCAGAACCCAGAAGTGATTGTAGAAAACAAGTCACTTAAGAAATCAACTGCAAAACTAAAATTCATTTCCTGCTTTCTAAGAAAACAAAAAAGGGCCTGAGGCTCTGAAGTCTTTCTGAGAAAGACCTTTTCACAAGCAGTTTTCAAGAAGGCAACTGTGGTTTGCATTTTTTGCCCTAAACAAAACAGAGTTTGCAGATTCAGAAAGCTTCCAAGAACCGCACAAGATATAGGAATATAAATCATTTACTGGACTTTGTACCAAGTACACTACTTTAAGCATGGCTCAGTTGGACCTGAAAGCAGTCTGAAGTCATTGCATTATGATTTTAAAGATGCTCCATGATGCATATTTTACGACATTTGTGCTCTGAGTTTCATCAAAGCAGAAGTCTGATCATTTTGTATTAGGGTTTTCTTGACTTTAGGATTTAGATGAAACTTGAGGACTTCCTGGCTTCACTGAATCCTCAAGAGGTGCTCAAAATCTGCTGGTTTGCATCCAAAGTCTGACTTAGTTTTCACTAGAACCCACCTATTGGCCCAAATTCTCACAAATTCAGGTCTAGGTTTACTAAAGCTTCAGTTCATTGACCTTGGGTGGAGTTCAGCTCTTTCTTCAAAGAAACCAAGTGAAATTGTGTCTCCAGCTCACCTCAGAGGAGTGAGCAGATCCCAGCCAGGCAGGTTCTTTCACTGAGTTGTTGCTACCAGCGCCACTTGTGACAAGATGTGCCTCCATCCAGCAAGGAGATGTTGCAACTTGATGCAAACACAGCTGTTGCTTCACTTTGATTTCAAGGAAGCAGATTCTGTAAAACATTCTGCCAGGAAAGCTGGTTTCCATTTAGAAAGGAGAAAAAAATTTGAAAAGAAATATAAGACAAATATTCCTCTGAGCAAGCTTTTGAATGCTCTCCTTTGTTAACTAATACAGTTAATAGGACTGAATATGACAACAAGCTTCCCATCAAGAGCATCCCAAACAAAAACTTCAATAGAACTTCTCTATCTCATAGAGCTGATGAGATAGAGCTTCACAATTTTTTTATTTAAGTTTTCCACAGTGTTTTGTTGGTTTTTTTTAACTAGCAATTGCATGCCTCGGATGCTTGGTCCTTACCTTGGGATACCAAAAAGTGACCTTTATTTTGTGGGAGAGAGCTTTTGACAAATTAGGCCATTTTAAGTATTGATAAAAGGCATATAAAAATTTATATATAAAAAAATGCCCATTTGGAAAAGGCAGTCAAGAATTTTTATTTTTTAATCTCACTACCATTCTCTAGATATAGTGTCTACCCCATTTTTTCAGCTCTCCACAGCAGCTTTTTCTGGATTTACCATAATCCTCACATTATCAACATACTCTTCAGCAGCATATTTACTTGAAGGCAGGTAAGAAATTAGAGATAAATTGAATCACTTGATGTAAATTATTCAGGGTGTTAATCGTGATGCATGTGGGCTGGGAAGAGAGGACTGCTTTGTTTGGTTTGGTAGTTCTGCCTCCACTGTGCTTCACACATGTGATAAAGCAAGGGTAATAAATCAGAACAAAGGAAATAGAGGACGAAGGCTTTAGGGAACATGTGTTTTAGAAGAAAAACTTGGCTTGCCACTAAAGCAGCATTGCCTTATAATGGATGTTTAAAATTCAGATGTAGAAAGAGACTGACAAAATGATATAAATACAAGAGACTTGCAGGTCTGTGCAGCTTTCGAACAGTTCTGTGAGCCAGTCCATCTTTGCCAGCCCCTCCTGGGTCTGGACAGGCAGATCCCATGCTCCAAACCAGCAGGATCGCAGCACTGGTGGCAGCACAGCTCATCCTGAAGCAATACTGCAACACATTGGCTTCAACAAAGCAGTAAAGAATTCAGCCCAACCCAGGCAGCTGACACATTGTTTTCCAGGACCACAGCTCTCTCCAGCTGCTGCTGACACGCCTATTGCAAACCCATGCCAGCCGGGAACACGCTGCTGGAGGAATCATTTGCCATCCCTGGGATCTGTACAACCCTCGCACTGCAGTGTCAGGGCAGCAATTTCACACAGCCAGGAGGACTCGGCTGAGACTCTGTTGCCAGCCTTGGGCAGGCAGAAACTGCTCAACAGAGGATCTACTCTGAAGCAGATTTGCCAAGGTGTTTAGGAACCTAGACATGAAGAGGGTGCCCCATGAGTTTTCCCAAGGCCTCCAAGTGGTTCAGGCTCTTCAGATTCAATCCTTGAAATGGGAATTTTCCTCCTCTCTCCCTCCAATCTCCTAAAGAACTTAGTGTATTTGCTTTGCATGGCAAGGTGCTGATAGGATGGGAGGTTGCAGGGGTGGTGTCTGTAGGAAGCTGCTGGAAGCTTCCCCCACATCCCACAGGGCCAATGCCAGCCGGCTCCAAGATAGACCTGCTGCTGGCCAAAGCTGGGACAGTCAAGAATGATGGTAATGCCTCTGTGACAACATTTGTGAGAAGGAAAGAAAAATAGTTATTGGGCATAACTGGACATAACTGCAGCCAGAGAACAGAGGAGTGAGGAGAACAGCTCTGCAGACACCAAGGTCAGTGGAGAAGGAGGAGAAAGAGGTGCTCAATCCACCACACTTTTGAAAGCCCAAGAAGTGCCACTCTGTGTGTTTGAGAACCTGAATACTTCTGCAGAGAGTTTTGCATTTCATGACCCTTCCCCTCCTCCTGTGGGCTGCCCATGGGACTCCCAGCCAGGCTGGTGGCCAAGGTCAGCACTGGACTGACTAGTGCTAAGGGCAGTAAAGCAATCTTGGCCGCTGGCAGGACACAAGAAATCCCAAGAGGATGACAGGGCTCCTGTTTGTCTGTCCTGTGCCTATTAACCTCTGAGGGTAAATGGTCTCTATTTCACTTAATGCAACAGCTTTGCTGCCAGTCTTCTGCCAATACACTTTAGACCAAGTAGTCTAACATTAAATGTATCCCACATACACTTTGTTGTGATATTAGTCTGCCTTTTCAAATTTTCCTATTTTTTCATGCTTTATCCATTCCAAGCCTAAATAAAAGCAAAGCTCAGGTTCCAAGAACGGAGGGGTGACTAAGGTGGGGGCTGTGAAAAGGAATAGAGAGGGAATAGAGCTATAAATGGAATCAGGGAAGCATGGCTTGGGGTGATTAATGAGCTTACATCTGTGACAAGTACTTACTATAAACAGCAGGTAGAGAGGCAAAGCCAGCAGCAGAAAGTGCTCAGGAGCAAAGGAGGTGGAGCTGTGCCCCCCCTCATCAGCAGTGACCCTCCTCAGTGGGGCTTTGGGTAGGGTGCACAGCAGGATTTGTAGAACCATCTGGGAGCAGTATGCACCCTTGGGGGAACCTGGGAGAAAAGAGGGATTAAAAAAAAAATACAATTCCCTTACCAGCGGCAAAACAGCAAAGTCCTGGCTAAAGGTGCAGCTAGGAAGTGCCTGTGCTTTTCCCCTTCTTCCCTGGGATTTTCCTCTAGCAGTGGGTATCCCTGGTGCCCACACTGTGGTTTGCAGCTGCCTGGCACATGGGGCAGCTCCAGTGGGGTAGAAAGAGAAGGATTTTGGTAAGACTGAGGGGCTAATGATCAGGTAAAATGCAGTGCAGTTTGGAGCATCTGTTCTGCATTATTCAATAGGATCCCAGCATTATCATTCCTAAGGATAAACATGCAGATGAAGTCTCTGAAATCCTCTTGTTGGTTTAAAAACAGAAAAACACAAGCAAAGAAAAAGTTTCAATGGAAAACAAAACCAAAATCGTTGCCCCCCCTCAAAAAAAAAAAACAACTCTGATGCTTTTTAACATTACACTGTATTGAAAACTGAAACTTCCTCCTTGTTCTCTGTTCCATGATCCATTCCTCTGAGGAAAGCTCAGACTACTGTCAAGTTGTGAGAAAATGGAGAATAGGCAAAACTGGAATTCCCGAGTTGGATAGTTATGGATAAACACAATGCAGACTTTTTTTATAAATAAACTGGCCAAGACTGAATTATTGTTAAAACAAAATATCAATTTTAAACAGTGAAAACAGAAGCTGTATAAACCAAGCTACTCAGAGCCTTTAAAGAAAACTACTGGGTTACTCAACACAGCGAGCCATATGAATAACTCCAGCCCATTCCAGCTTGCTTTTCCCTTGTTTCAGTGCAGAAAAAGTTTCCAGTGCTTGCAGCAACCAGCTCAGCTCACTTTGTTCTTGCTGGGCAGTTTTTGAAGCAGTGCAGAGCAGATGCAATGGGGGTCAGGATCTGATCCCTCACATGCATGGTTTTAAAGATTATCATTCAGGAGAAGCCATTGTGAGGAAGAAAAAATTCTAAGCCCAGAGCCTGAGTTATTTCTCTGACCCTGAATGCTAACAAACATAATATTTTATTTGGCTGGTTATAGAAAACATGTGGCAAATCCTCCCTTTTTGGGGAAGGTTTGTCCTGCAGCACAAGAAGTAAAGAAAAAGAACTGAACTCTATTCTGCCTGTCTCTGCAACGCTCATCCCTGTGCTCACACAAGCTTCTCTCACCTGAATTTTAAGTTCTGGATACATATGATAAATCTATTTATTCTGCAGAAATACCAACAAGGTCCCAATCAAATATTAACATCAAGATCTGCAGGTTGGGTACAAACAGGAAAGCATCCCCATGAAAAGTTTATACTCCAAGCAATATGGGAAGGTTCAGGATAATCAATTATTAAAAAAAGGACATGAAAAGTAGCAAGTTCAGGACAGATTTGAACAGCAAAACACATTCCCCAGTATCCTACTGTATTCAGCAGCAGCAAGAGAATTGTTCAGTGCTCAGGTGTCTTAGATCAGAGTACAAGGCTGAGGACCTACAGGACCTTTTGGGGCTTTGTATTTAAAGTTCCAGTTCTGATTCTGATCTAGCATCAGGCCCCAAATATGGTATTTCCCTGTAATCAACTAACCAATCAATAAAAAAACAAACAAAAAACCACAAACAAACCCAACAGAAAAGGAACAATTACTAACTTACCTACAAGAAACCTTTCACTTATCAGTGAACTCCACCAGCATTTGAAATGGAGCTAAGGAGTGAGAGATATTACAGTGCACAGGAGGAGCACAACAAGAGGGTTGTTTGCTGTTTTCCTCATCCTGACAGCTGTTCCTGATGTACCCAACCCTCTACTAAACCTTCCTTAAGGACATTGTACAAAGGGAAGGGTGCTTTTCCCAGCAGGGTTAGCAGGGCTTTAAGCTGCCAGCCAGCTGGGTGAGTGTGAGTCCACTGCAGCCGCAGGAGGGGAGGCTCAGGCTCCCACCCTTCCCTCAGGAAGGCTAATGCTGTGCCAGCACACACAAAGGGTGCACACACATGTTCTTTGTACTGGCTCAGCTCCAGGGATGCTTATTTCCAGCTGAGGAGCTGTATCAAACACAGTAGAAGATAACCTTTCCAGCCTTTCCATCTGTTCCTGAAGACAAAATGGCATAATAAAGATATTTCTAAATACCTCCAAGCAGGTGGAGGGTAATGAAGTTGGGACAGTGATAGCCATTGCCTTACTTCCTTCATCAGGGACAAATCCTTTAGCTATTCCCTAAAGCCTCTCATCAACTGAGCCACCACAGGACCTATAACTCACCTCCTCCTTTTCCACCAGCTGCCCCCCAAGCTTCCTTGGCCCATCAGTGAGGGACAGATCTTCTGTCTGGGACACCTGTGCCCTGCAGTCAGCACAGCACTTTCTCAGTGGGTTTGCTAATCAGGACACCAGTGATGCCCCCTGAGCTGGGAGCCTGTGACTCAGCTGTGGGCCCGCTGCCACTCAGCAGCTGGCACTTGGCACAGGGGCTGTGTGACTCAGGCTGGCAGGAGCCTTTGGAGATGCCTTCCCCTGATTTATATCTGCAAGGGATCCTTTGTGTTTCGACCCTGTTGTTGGCATGCCAGCCTCACCATAAAAATCTGGAGTTAATTAACTCCACTTTTCGATCACAGCAGCTCTTTCCAGGACGCAGCTTTGTAGGGCTGGCAGTGCTAGCTCCTGCTCCACCAGCCAGCATGGCTGCTGATGCCTTTCACCTTGGAAAAATCCTGTACTTTCACACATGGGCAACCCCAGGGAAAGCACAGGTTTGCAGTGCCTGGTAGTCTGCCTCCATCTTGCTCCATCTCCTTGTCCCTTTTGGTATGGAGTTTGGAGCCTGTGGTCTTGCAACCCTACCCCTAATTGCAAGAAGCCTCTTGGCCCCAGCAAGTTGGGCTCCTCCTCGAGAAATCAGAACATTTCGAAAAAGAAAAAGATATAAAGACAAAAGATGCACATGTCAGTTCATTTATGGAGCTGTATAACTGTGACATTTTACAGAGGGCAAAGGGACTCACACCTGGTACTGCAGCCTTTCTTCTGTGGTAGATTTGTGACTTATTTGTAGGTTATCAGTCAAAAAGGGTGGAAGCACCTTTCACTTCTCAGCAATCCCATGGGACAGGTATGCTTCAGAGCTGGCTACATTCTAGCAGAGTGATTCTCTTACTTTAAGCCATATTTTTGGCTTGTATAAACTGGACTGACATCAGTGGAGCTACAACAATTTACATCAGCCCAAGCACACGGCTCCACATTCTCAGGGATGGGAGCTCAGTTCTGGAAGGTTTTGAGCAGCTCCTTGGTGCTGCAGGCTGGATGCCCCTACAGACAATGAGCCCTACCTGGGAGGATGTGCAAAAGCTCTTTTGCTTTGTGTTACTCTGGAGAAGAACTGAGGCAGTTCTCCTCACAGTGAATGACAATGGGAAAACAAGAGGAAACATCCTGAAAACAAAATAAAATTTTGTTTAGGACTGAAACTGGGAGCTGAGGCTGGAAGAGAGTTGGAACAGGTTCCAGAGAGCCCCTGATGCACGGGGAACAGCAGGATCAGACTGTGACACTCATCACCCCAATGGGACAGACACAGGGTGTCTACAGCTCTTCCTATGAAGAACTGAAAGGATTGAAGCATTTTCATTCAGACACTCAGAGGAAAATGGGGCAACACAGGATGGCCACGTGTGACCTTAATTAACACTTCAATGCTGGTCCTGTGCAGTGCTGGGCACTTGAGGTGGAGGGATGTGTTCAGACCCCACCCTGTGCATGCCAAACCAACCAAGGCTAAGCAGGGCTGACAGCCATCCTCTTTCTCCAGCCCTTTGTGGAGATTTGCTCCTCAGCAAATCCCTCTTCCAAAAACTGACAAAAATATACGTGTTAAGAAGCTTGGAAACCGGTTTGAGGATTAGGCAGAGCCACAGAGCAACGTTGTATGTTAAATATTTTGATTGTCTGCAGGAACTTTGACACAGGGACAAGCAGCACTTGTTGCAAAACAGGGTTCAGCAGAGGTAACCCCAACATACAGCAGGAGAGCATGAGGAGAGATTAAAGGCTGCTGCTGCTGTTACAGTAAAACATAGGCAAGTACCACAGGCACCTTAAGAAAGATTTTGGAAGAATTTGGGCATCCTGGTTGAAAATCTGTGATCTGGGAGCTCCATATTCCCACTCCACTGCTGCCTAGCCCTGGAGGTGCCTGAACTTGCCCGCTGCCTCCTGTTTTGACTCACAGCCTCCCTGGACGGCTGTGAACCTGCTCCCAGGTGTGGTCAGAGCTGCTCCCATCCAAACATCTCCCCTCCAACTCTCAGGTGAGTCTCTGGCAGCAGGGCTGTCCCCATCCCCAGCAGGAACCAGCAGCAGGAGCACCACAGCCGTCCCAGGCACTGCCTTTTGCTGCAGCAGCATGAGAGGCTGGGATGTCCCTGGGAACACCTCTGTGCTGCCCCAAGCAGCTCCCATCCTCTCTGCTGCCCATCCTGAGGGGCACCAGGAGCTCCCCGACAGCCCCTCCAGCCTCCCAGTGGTGAGCACAAACAGCAAGAGCTGCATTTCCCTCCTCCACAGGGATGCCACAGCGTCCTGGATGGCAGCAATGACCTGCAGCCAGCCCAGCCTCTCCCACACCCTGCAAAGATGCCGGGGTAACACAGGCTGGGGTCGACTCTGGCTTTTGTCACTTTTTCAGTATAACCCATGCTTGAGGCAGAACTTTTTTTTGATAAATTGCACACACATTTCTCCCCCTGTCCTGTTAACAGCTTGGTTTCAGACGAAGCACAGTAAGTGCCTGCGGTAACTGCTGAAGCCCAGCTTCCCCCATGCTGTCAGCCTCTGCAGTTTTCCCAAACACAATCAACAACCTGGCCTAGGGCTTATCTACCCACTTCCAAAAGTCTTAATCTGACAACTAATGATGCATTAATCACTGTCAGACTACAATCTTTTGTTTCTGCTTCTCTGCAGGCATCTGTCAGGATCACAAAGGATT